TATATATATATATATATATATATATATATATATATATATATATATATATATATATATATATATATATATATATATATATATATATATAGACACTGATTACAAGTAATAAATCTAACATACCGGAATAGAGTCTAAATGAGATAGGCGCTTTCCTAGATTCCTTCCATTATGATGATTTGCTTCAGCTAGAATGCTACCTATGGTCATGTCATCTTCAGTCTCCTGGATATTGCTACTTCTGCTAGAACTAGAGCTTTCACGAACATAGTCAGGTTGTCCAGACATCTTATCTTAGTGAAAGCATATTTGTTGGAAGAGCCACAGATCACTTCGCGGTAATAAAGAAAATTTCAGTTACTTGGATCTGAGACCTGGGCTGTAGAACAAAGAAACAAATTTGGCATATGTTAGAAGCAAAATGAAGAAAATTGCATCATTTTAACTCCAAAAAGGACCTCAAAAATCAACCTCAAGTGTGAAAAATTTAAAACAATCACCACCAACTACCATTAAAAATTTAGTCAACTTATATCCCATGCTCAGGAAAAACCTAGTCCTCAAGATTAAAAAAACAAAAAGCTACAGTATGGCAGGGACAATCAAATAACTCCTAGTTGTCCAATGACAGACAATAAACTATAGAAACTGTCAATTTAACCAAATCTTAGAACTGAAATGTTACATCGTCATGTATCAGTCAAGTGAAATACCATAAATTATGATATTTATTTGCCCAGTTACCTTTGGCTCCTTCATATTCCTGCTAAAATAATGTAAATTATTTATGAGATTAACATAATCATGTGTTGTGAAGGGAAAAACCTTGGGTCAATCATAAGGTAGCTTCGTAGTGACCTATGCATCATGGCTTAAAATTACAAAAAAAAAATTCTTTGAATGGAAGTGCAAGATTGAGTACAACTGACCAGAGTTAACAGGATGATTCGAGAAAAACAAGAAAGTCAGAAATGAAAAGAAATAGCCAAAACATTGTTAAAAGAACAAAACCAGGGTCCAACTGACAAGATGGATAAAACATCTGCTACAAATTATTTTAGTTGAGTAAAGAAGAAAGGTTTCATAATTATACGCCATTTACATGGTTTACCATCAAAAATACTTCTCCTGTAAAAATTCAGTTCTCTGTCAGTAATCAATGATCGCATGGAATTCTACATAAAAAGGACAGATTTCTAACATATGTACTCATGATTCCACAAACATTAACAATAGATTTCCTTCTACAAAAAAAAGGGGAACAAGACGAAAGAAAACAAAAACAAGCAAACAATAGTTATACCAGTAACTAATTGAATCCCAATATAAGTTGTGTTGGACAATGTCAAGTTCTCCACAAGCCTTAAAAAGAGCATTGAATTAGTTTTCAATTCAGCATCTAGGAGAACACAACATTGAGGAAATGAATTTCCTTGTTACCATGCAGCTGATCCTCCCGAGGCCTTGTAGTAGCACCCATGTTGATATTCTCCTTTTTAAGAAGCATATGATGCAGTAAGCTAGTACCAAGGGAAACCAAAACCAAATGGGACAAATATGAAGCCTGAACTAGTGTCTCCAGACACAGAGACAAGGAAGGAAGACCATGGATAGCAACATACTCTCTTATGCAATGATTGTCAATTTGTCCTAAATCCTAGGGACCAGATTGTATCAATTCTACTGCTGCATGAAGGTAGAGTTGAGAATTTAACTAATTACAATACAGCAATCAGAACAAGAAATATATATATATAATAAGAAATTTTCAAATAGGAGGAAAGCCTTGCAAAGTGTTATGCCATGAGGTGGACAATTTGGTTTCCCTTGGTAATCGGTATTATCGTCATAAAATAGGCATGAAGAAATCTACGATACAAATTTCATGCAAATTTTGTTGGAACAAATTGTGTACCAAATTGACAGGTACAAGACCAAAAATATGAGATGTGTTTTATAAGTTATCAATTTCAAGATACATAAAATGAAAATTTGCTACCCAGCTATATGCCATAACCCCTTTCTGTGTGGCAGAAGTAATAATGTGAATCACAAGAGGTCCAACGTCATCAGCAATTTTAATTCCATATCAGATTTGCTACTAGTCCCATCTCCCACTCAACCTTACTTCCACAAGCTACCCTATTCTACAACTGATTACTCCTTCGGCAGACCAATTTTACAGGCGCATCAACTAAAGCATCAAGAACCAAACAGTAGCTGATCTAGCAAGAGCACCGACAACGATGCAAAGAGCATACAGAGAGAAATAATTGCATACTCTTCGTTCTTATCAGTAAAATAAATAGAAAATGCATCTGATCGTTAACTTCTACATCACAATTGGAAAATACAACAACGCAGAGAGAGTAAAACAATCAAATACGTCGAGATGCTTACTCTAGTAAATCCCCTCTATTCTTTTATTAACGAAACCCTATTGGATGATTCAACCAAAAATAAAGCATTAAACGCAAGTAGCCTTAAACCCTATTGGAGCATCCGCCGACGGAGATCGGGAACCAGAAAGAAGAATAAGCAGGGAAAAAACACACCAGGCTTCGGGGATCTTTAGTGCGATCTTGATGGGATCGAAGTCTATGGATTCGAAGCGAGTTTATGTTGTGCTGCTGCGGCCTTTTCCACGAAAGAGGGGAGCGGAGTAGTCGTACGACGAGTCGCGACCACAGAAAGAGAGGGAGGTGTGCGGTAGAAGTGAGACGTTTGGTGTTCGGTCACACCCGCTCGATCACTGCAGCCGTACCGCGTCACCGTTCGTTGGTCAGGCGACGGTTCGTTCGGCGGCGTCCACGTTGTACGGGATCCTTTGCACATACGTGCCTTCGCGTAGATTTGCGTTGTGACGCTACGCGGAAACGCCACGTATTCTGTGACCCATATTTGACTTGACTTAGATCCATTAATGTGTTTTTTTTTCTAATATATATATATTATATGGATGTTTTCTTATACAAAACCATATATATTTTTTAGAAGTTACTGTTTATAGCCTTTCTAATATTCAAAATATTTTTATTGATAATCTCTTTAAAATAATATAATATTTATTTTACTATTTATAATCTCAATTTTATCTTTTTTTCTCGTAATCTCATGCTTTATGTTATTGTCATCATCCCACACACTATCGATAATGATGCTCCCCACTCCCTCCATGCTCCCTATCAACATCAATATTTTTTTTGTACTCTTTGTTAACATCGATACTCGAGCTCTTTGTCGATACCATCATCACTAACATCTTGTGGTTCGTTGTTGACGATGACATCATCCAACCTCACTCCCCCCTTAATATTATCCTACGGTAAGAAAGAAAATATAGATAAGGAATAAGAGAATAAATGAAGAGAATAAGATGGTATATCCATCCATTTACAAAGGAGTAGCCAGAAAGTAAAAAAAAAAAAGGATTACAAATAGTAATCTCTTTTTAATATATTTTAAAAAAACTCTTGATTTTTATCAAATAACACCTTCGTAATTGATTTTTTACTTGTGGCACCAATTTTTTGTTAATTTAACAAAAATATCATTTACTCTTGTTGTCGTCACCCTCGATTATCATCATAGCCACTATTGTTGGCCTTGCTTAGGGAGAGGGTTATCGTGGACGACGTTGCATAACTGTTGATTGTCGAGTCTATTGTGCTACCCTCGTCGCGTGAGTGTCAGTGGTGTCAACATTATCGAGAGCAAGGGGTGGGTCTACCTTAACGAGCCACTAAATCGACCACACCACCCCTGTTGTGTGAGGGTGTTGGGAATGGTGAGTGATGAGGGCGGAGGAGGGGGCTATGTAAGATGAATGATTACTGACACCTTAGTCATATATTATTATCACTCTCGTCACTTGCTATCACCTAAGGTAGTATAAAGTTAATGTGAAAGGACGAGTGATTAGAGATGAGAGGGAAGATGAGAGAATGATACTATTTAAGATTGGAGTAGAGAGCAACGACGTCGATGACAGTAGTATTTTCATACAATTAATGATAATGACGATAATGACACTATTAATTTAATGACGATAACAATGATAACGATGATGATATTATTAAATTAGTGACGATAACAATAATAACGATGATGACACTATTTGTGGAGGGAAGGGGTATTTTCATCAAATTAATGAAAAAATGATATCCACAAGTAAAAACCGAGTAAAAGCTCAACATAGTTTATTTTAAAAGTAAAACACATTATATTTTTAGAATAAATTATAATTTTTAAGAAAAATAAAAAAATAAAAAAATTATAATTATTATTTAATAATAATTACTTGTTAATTTAAATTTAAAATTTTTAATATCTTGACTCATAAAAAAAATTGTAATTTATTTTCATCATTTGTGTGTGTCAGACTCACTATAAAAATCCATCATCGAGGGTTTTTTTTTTTTTTAACTATCTTATAATTTTATATTTCCAGAATAGATTATAATTTTTAAGGGAACAAAACCTTAAAACTTACAATTATTTTTTCGTAGTAATTAGTTGTTGATTTGAAATTATAATTTTTTAAAATTCTGACTCATCAAAAAAAAAAAAACTACTTTCGCCGTCTGTGGGAATCGAACCCACGACCACGTGGTTAAAAGCCACGCGCTCTACCGGCTGAGCTAAGACGGCTACTTAGTTTATTGCTCGTCACATCCTCTTGATCTTCTTTATTACAAAATATTAGGTGTATCTAAACGCTCATCCGATTCTTTAAGTTAATAGATTCCAAGGATTCGAAAAACATAAACATATAATATGCTTAAATATAATCCATGGGAGCTAAGTGGTGCATTAACTTATGAATAGTTATGCATAATACATTATTTAATCATGGGACATATACCAAACGATCAAACTGATTAGGCACTAAATGACGATAACAATAATATGTTGGGTTGATTGGGCGTTTGGGGTAGTGAATTAAGAGTTTAAAATATTAATAAATATACTTAATATATTAGATGTATCAAATTTATTTATCGACTATTGAAGGTTTAAAATAAGATGATTTCTCGAAAAAAAACTTTTCTGGGAATATACTCCTTTTTAGATTTTTGTTAGTAGCGTCCACTTCTTTTCTTAATCTTATACATACCCTTAATTTGACAACCAACCATTTAGATCGGTTCTCAGTTATAGTATTTTTCAATTATGTTACAATATTTTCTTAGTACCAATGAATAAAAATACTGTAACTCATTACAAAAATTGCTGTATTTTTCTAATATTTTTTCATTATGATACATAAATGACGTTCTTATGTATTTTTCTAATATTCTTATATATATATATATATATATATATAACGCGCGTCTGAGGTTGAAGCCTGTTGTTGTATTTTCATTGCTCTTAATGCAAGACAATGTCGGTGAGGGAGAATGCTGGAGAGACGATGGCGAGAGCGAAGGATGAGTTCATGAAGCAATTCGGAAAGGACTACGGGTATCCCGACGCGCCAAAGGATATCGACGAGATCAGAGCTTCGGAGTTCAAACGATTGCAAGGTCCCAATTCGATTCCCCCTCCTTGGGTTCGTTTTCCTGAAACCCGGAAGTGATTCGGCTTCTGTGCGGTTTCGTGGACCGTTTTTTTGAAACCCTTGAAAGGGATAATCTCTTGAAGACCTAGAACGATTCGGATTTTGATCTTTTTGGTCGATTCCAGGGCTTGTTTATTTAGATCATGCTGGGGCTACGCTGTACTCGGAAGCACAGATAGAAGCCGTCGCCAAAGACCTCACCTCCAGCGTCTACGGAAACCCTCGTATCCAAGGAATTGGCGAGATTCCATTCTGGGAGTGATTGGTTTTCTTCGTCGTTTTTGAGCCTTCTGTCGGACTTCTCATGCTTCCAACGATTTTAGTTGAATTTTGCGGTGGATTTTTGTTGGAGATATACTCAAGAAACGAATTTTCTCTCTCTATTTTTACGAATTGAAAAACTTGAGCTGATTGGTTTCAGTTGAATTGCTCGGAAATGTTTATTTTGACATATTAGTGGTGATATTATTAATTATTCAACAAGTCAGTGGTGTGCATACGATTAGTAGTTTTGTGTTCTTTAAGTTGGTGGTTTAGATAGCCAGAGCGATTCCAGTTTGGCAACTTGTGACATCATTTCTGCAGCACGACAGCAGGTATTTCCATCCATCAGTCATGAATTATAAAAGCGAATTACTATACAAATGAATAATCAAAAGGAAGAGCATTGTTATGATTTCAAAACTTTGTAAAGATAGTCTTGTAAGAAAATCTCAGTCTCTTGTTGTAGTCTTAGTAAGTCGTTTAAAAATTTAATATTTGAAGCAAGTCTCATATCTATGACTTTATGATGATAATTATGAGTTTGCTTAAGTCTTGTTTTGTGTAGCCCATATGGCACAATTATAAATTAACCTTTTAGAGGGAATGAATCTTTGAATATGTTTGTATTCTAAATGGAATTTACATATCCATAAGCTTCCTTACATAGTTCATACCCTACCATCCAAGTGAACTCTGTGTATGTTTTCCTTATGGTTGGTCCTTTGAATCCTTGTTATGGCATTTGTATTTGGAATAACATGTATTGTGCCATTGTGAGCAATTGATTTTAGTTCACTCTTCATTTATCTTTTTGCTGGTACTGATAGTGATCAATATTTGTTCTATCAGGTTCTTGATTATCTTAATGCATCACCAAAGAACTACAGATGCATGTTTACTTCTGGGGCTACAGCAGCTCTTAAATTGATTGGGGAATGTTTTCCTTGGTCTAGCGAAAGCTGTTACATGTACACAATGGAAAATCATAACAGCGTCCTTGGAATTAGAGAGTATCCTTCCAAAATTGAATAGTTTCTCACTTATGATATCATTTCCTTATTAAGTGTTAAGTGTGGTTCTGTAATGGTATCTGTTAAAGAAAAATATTGATGATATTTGTTGAAGAAATAAATGATGATATTTGTTGAAGAGATTAACACTATGATGCAAGTTTCAAAGCTGAACTGTCTGGGCTTTTTCTCCATTAAGTGGTAAGGGCATTGTACTGTTGAAAAAAATATTGATGATATTTGTTGAACAAATAAATGATAATATTTGTTGAAGAGATTAACACTATGATGCAAGTTTCAAAGCTGGATTGTCTGGGTTTTTTCTCCAATAAGTGTTAAGGGCATTGTAATGTTAATAAAGCTTACAAGGCCCTCATGGTATCTTGGTGTCATTTATTGTGTTCATTTTGATCATTTATTTTTCCTTTAATTTTATGATAATTTATGAGGTTGGTGGTGATATTTACAAGATGATGTTCTCGCTGAGGAGTCTTGTATTACAACAGTCTTGCTATCGGATGATAGCTACGATTTCATTCTAGAGTAATAAAAAAAAACTGGGTGACAAATTATTAGGCACCTCGATTTTGAGACTGATGTGTCTGCAACTTTCTAAATATAGAGAGGTATAGATGTTTGACATATTATTTATATAGTGTATACTATTCATTTGTATATATTTTTCCAAAGTATACTATTTGGAATTTTGGAACATCTCAATGGGTCAATGTCAGTAATTGAGGAAAGCATGACTTGCATATGACTTGATTGGTTGACCTGCTAATAACCTAGGTTTTATCAGTTTGTGCCATGTGGCAAGGCCTATTTCATCTGAAGTTATAGGGTCAAGAGGTGGTAACTAAGTC